CGATACAGCCCGATATAGAGGTGCCACACACCCTTATCGCTTCACTGACGAAGTCATGGAACATGAATTCCTATAAGGATTCAAACACGTGAACATAGAATCATACGACGGAACCACAGACCCCGCGGTATGGATTGAAGACTTCATTCTCCATATACATATGGCCTGCGGAGATGACCTCCACGCCATCAAATACCTCCCTCTAAAGCCTAAAGGACCAGCTCGGCACTGCTTAAATAGCCTGCCTGAAAACTCTATCGGCAGCTGGGAAGACTTGGAAGAACCCTTCCTCGACAACTTCCATGGTACATATGTCCGGCCACCAGACACCGATGACTTAAGCCACATAGTTCAACAACCTGGAGAGTCAGCTAGGAAATTCTAGACTAGGTTCCTAACCAAAAAGAACCAGATCGTTGACAGTCCGGATGCTGAAGCCCTAGCGGCCTTTAAACATAGCATCCGCGACGAATGGATCGCCCGCCATCTCGACCAAGAAAAGCCAAAATCTATGGCAGCCCTTTTGCGCGGGTGAGGATAGTTGGTTGGCCCGTAGCAAAGCAACGCCGACACCCCTGAAGTTAAAAATAACAAAGACAAGTCTCAACGCAACAGATACAAGCGACGAAACAACAATGACAACACCGAGGATACGGCGGTCAACGCCGGATTCAGTGGCTCTAAGTCCGGTTAGCGGAAGAGGCTGTTTCAAAAGAACAATTCGGGCCCATCTAGCTTGGACCGCATACTTGATCGTCCGTGCCAGATTCATGGCACCCCAGACAAACCACCCAATCACGCCAATAGAGATTGTTGGGTTTTTAAACAGGCCGACAAGTTAAATGCCGAAAACAAGGATAAGGGATCGCAAAGCAAGGACGATGATGAGGAGCCCCGACCGCCGAACACAGGGGGACAGAAGAAGTTTTCCCCTCAGGTCAAAACGGTGAACATGATATATGCTACCCACATCCCCAAGAGGGAGCGTAAGCGCGCGCTCAGGGACATCTACGTGATAGAGCCAGTCGCCCTCGTCATGCCCGATCACTTTTGATCGCCCGAATCATCCGACCAGTATCCGTCACGGCGGTTTAGCTGCACTGGTCCTGGACCCAATAATTGATGGGTTCCACCTGACGCGAGTCCTGATGGATGGTGGCAGTAGCCTCAACTTGCTCTATCAGGATACAATGCGCAAAATGGGCATTAATCCACCACGGATCAAACACACAAAGACTACATTCAAAGGAGTCATACCATGTGTAGAGGCCCGCTGTACGGGCTCAATCACGCTAGAGGTCATCTTCGGATCTCCGGACAATTTCCGAAGCAAGGAATTAATATTCGACATAGTCCCCTTTCGCAACGGCTATCACACACTGCTCGGATGGACCGCATTCACCCGATTTAATGCAGTGCCACACTATGCTTATCTCAAGCTCAAGATGCCAGGTCCATGTGGCATCATAACAGTCAATGGAAATACGGAATGCTCCCTTCGTACAGAAGAGCACACAGCTGCCTTAGCAGCAGAAGTACAGAGCGGCCTTCTCAAGCAAAACCTTTATTTGGCTGCCGAGCCCAACCGTCAAGAGGGTCCGAACTACCCTGCAGCAGGACAGCTTGGCTCGTCAGGACCTCGACTAGCAATCCTTCCTTCGTCTCAGTCCCGATCAAGTAGTGGCATTCGTGTCGCGCATACATAACTACGCACTCAAAATTCCATGGGCATTGACGGAGGCATAGCTAGCTTGTGATCCACGGTAGGACTCAACCGACACCGGATACACACACTTTCACTTTTATTCGTTTCCTTTTCAGGCTTCAATCCCGCAGGCCCCATCTGATGGCCTGATCATCGGTACTCTTGAAGGACAAACACACCAAGGCGGTAAGAAACACAAGCATATGGGGGAGTTCTCTAAGTGGTTTCGTTAACAATCACTCTACCTATTTTTCAGGACCCACGTGCAGCTCTCCCTTAGTTAAGGCATAGTAACTAGCCTCCTGCTTATTGCATTACTTGTATAAATGCACTTTAACACACCAATGAAATTATAATAAGAACATTTTATGGCCCTAGCTTCTCACTTGTTCTTCTTTTTCTTCCTTTTTGTCTTTTCTTTTCTGGTAAACCCTATCAGGTAGCACCCGCACACTTTGGTACGTTTGATGTTTGCCAGGGGCTTCATAGCACCCCACACTACGGCAACAAAAGTCCAAACACTTTTTATAGTATAGTTTGGCACCCCGAATTTAGCATTATATGCATTGGCTCTGAATCATGTCTTTGGTCAATAGTTGGGTTGTCCGGCTCTTGTGCTTGCTACCTTATGTTCCGCTATATCGGCTAAGGTTGTAAAAGGAGAACTATTGCGATTGTGCCTTGGTTTATCCAAAGGAGCACCTCAGTAGAGAAAGCCAAAAACTGACTGTCATGATGCAGGGAGACCCGGTCAGCTGTTCGAAGGTTGTAAATCGTTGGAGATTTCTTCCGCATTACGCGAAGGATCAGTACTTCCCGATCAGACGCTTATAGCACTCTAGTTCGGATACTAGGGGTTGCGCCCATGTTTTTATTGTTTAACTCCTATGGCTAAGTGAGGGTTTTAAAGACGCATAGTCTGGTTGTCTGGTTCGTTGCGCTAAACAACTCCTTCAAGTACCATATAATTGGATCAAGATTGTTTAGATTCCACCCCGAACACCTCCGTACTACCTACGTGGGGGCAGAAGCCGACGACTGGTTAACCCTCAGATTTCATACAACACGGCGGCACAGGAGGTAAAATTTAAAAACATAACAAGCACTATATCATAAACCCACTTTGCTCTATCATACAAAGTAGCAGGAACTTAAATACATTCATTCAAAGATAACATCATGTGAACACTGCGTTGCTACAATGCGAGACCCCTCCAAGACATCTGCAAAACAGCGCTCAGGTGTGCGGTGCTCCTTGCCCTCCGGCGGCCCCTTGGTCAGCTCGACGACGTCCCTCTTCGCCCACCACATTTTGCAGCGGGCGAAGGCCATGCGCGCACCTTCAATGCAGGCCAATCGCTTGACGACGTCCAGCCGAGGACAGGCGTCCACCAGCCACTTCACGAGTTCAAATTAGCTGTCGGGCATAGCTTCAGCTGGCCACAGCTGGATTATTAAATCCTTCATGTCCAGTTTTGCCACCCTATGCAGCTCCACCAGCTATTTCAGCTGATCGGTGAAGGGCACGAGATGCTCTAGCGCAAGATATTGCGACCAGAACAATTTCTCCGTGGAGCTCCCTTCTTTGGCTCGAAAGAACTCCGCGGCGTCGGACACACTGCACGGTAGATCTGCGAAGGCTCATGGACTCCGAATCCAGGTTAGTAAGGAATACTTCTTCTTTATATACTAGTTGACCCGTTGCGCCAAATGGCGCAGAGACCTGCTGAAGACATGCTGTCGATAAAAATAGTTTCATGCTGCAAGAACCTTCAACTAGATCATGCTATTTTTTAAACATGTTTATTACGTTGTTAAATAATAGTCTGGGAAAAGAGAAACTTTGCATAATATGAATATGTTCAGTTTGAAAATATGACCACTATGATGAGAGAGTAAAGTTGGCATGGTTGTATTTTTTTAGCAAGTTTGAAAACATGGTTATCATGATAAAAAACCTGACTGTGCATCTTTTTCCTGCAAAAAAAAGGAAAAAGATAAGAAACCTAAGAAAAAAACATGTCTTTGTTGTGCATATACGGAGATATAGGAATCAGGAGGTATTATGATAGTCCATACCAGAAAAAAAGAAGGAAAAAGATAAGAAACCTAAGGAAAAAACATGTCTTTGTTGTGCACGTACAGAGATATAGGGATCAGGAGATATTAGGATAGCTCATATGTTATTTAGCCCAGCCCACACAGAGCGATGCATGTGGACCGAGTTGAATATGAAGCAGCAGGGGACGGATCCAGCGGAGAATGTCTATCCCCTTCCTTTCTCGGTTTCTCAGCTGGGTAACAGAGGCGTTTCCTCAGCCGCGGACCAGTGCGATTTCTTATCTATTGTGCAAAATGGTGCAAAGACCTGCTAAAGCCATGTTGTGGATGAAAATAGTTTCTTTTGCAAGGACATATTCAGTACTCGTTGTAGAAAGCCCATATATTAAACCATACTCTTTTGAAAATGTCTATCACATTGTGAAATCCAAGTTTGAAAAAAAAGTGTATAACTGTTGCACCAAAAAATTATATTTCTATAACACTGCCCATCGCGCTAAATGGCACCGAGTCCCATTTAAAACCATGTACTTGCTAAAAATATTTGAATTTTTCAATAACTGTGTTTGAACAAATACATACGGTAAGAACTTAGTAAAAGTTTAATTGATTGTCTGTTTAAGCTCACATAAAATGCAAGATGGCAACAACAGAGCACAATTGTATCATGTGCACCAGCAGCCAAAATTAGTTAGCTAATAAACTGTCTGAAGGGAACCAACCATTTCAGAGTAGTTTATTCCACATCTCATTCTCCTCGAAAATGAGCCCAAGTGGCCATCAACGAAAATACAATTGTTTTGATACATCAATGGTAAGAGAAATGAATAACCACCAAAGAAACAAAACGTTTAAATTAGTTTTTTCTAACCATGGAGGAGAGTTGCATGTGAACTTTATAAAAGAAGGCCAACATCAAGGAACATCATGTTGACATACTCATCCTGCTCTCCGTTCTTGTCATCAGTCCCGGCAATCAGCTCCTGACTTACACCTTAAGCAACAACCACGACAATGCCCCTTCTTCTTTATCCTTGCATATATAGGAACTCAATCAGGTCAAGAAAAAAAGATATGAATCAACTCTCAAGATCAAGTGAGATGGGTGCCTTCCCTGTCTACTACCGCCAGGCTCAACACCAACTCCACATATCAAGCACATGTTGCCTTTCCACAACATGACAACACTCTTCAAAGCAACAAACAAAAAGATTGGGCCTACACCGATGCCTCATTACCTGAGAAGAATAAAAGAGGGAGCTCACCTTGATGAGTTGGAATCAGACGCACTCGTTGTAGCTCGACCAATTGTAATAAAAACTAAAGATATGAGCACAGAAATTTCTATCGCAATTGCAAACTATTAAAGATGCCTTCAAGGGCGAAAAGAAAAAATGCATACAAACATGAATTGCCCAAAACAATTCTAAAATGCCAGACCACCATCATACAGGGCATATTTTCAGTATATCTTAACATTTCATAGATATGATAATTTATCGTATTTATGGAGAAAAAACCCAACCAGCAGTTCATCCAGAAAAAATGTGCTTGCCATAAGAGTGCTCCATAAAGAAGTAAAATATTATCTTATCAGACAAACAATTGAATATCTCTGGACCAAATATATGCTGGTGTAAAACAAAAACACATCAGGAGAAGCAATTACGATACAATGACCATATAAAGACACATTTTGAAGTATTTAACATCTGGTTGGGTAAGTAGCATAACTCAATGTTTTTGGATAAGTAAGGGACAGTCAGCCAACAGGCTACAGTATCGATAAATGCATAGAAGGACATAAAATATCTTACACTTTGAGCCGCATCCCCAAATCTTGTAGATAAGTGCAATACGATTTCCGAAGGTAACTCTCTTTCTTTAAATCAATGCCATCCCTCTTAGACGGAGAATTCTCTTCTATTTCCTTTCTACTGAAATACCATGAAGCACTAAGTTTGCCGGCTTCCTTATTCTCGCTCTTTGTAATTCCGTAGGGGCTATTTTCTACAATTTCTATAAGTTCTACTAACTCGTCACCAACTTCCTGAAGATTATTCCAAAACCCCAAAGCGAAGAGTTTTTTTACTGGAAATATGAGATAACTGAATGAAATACAAATATAGACTATCCTAGGTGGCAAAGTGTTTGGCATGTCATCATGTAATGCTAGATGGCGCAACCCATTTATTTTAACTGGGTTATTTGCATATCAAGGCGTTTTATGTACAGCTATAGGTTTTATATAGCATTAAGTAGCACCGGGCACAACATACCTTAAACGCAGCAACAGCCGATCAACAGCAGGAACAAACCACACAGATACATGTTATTTCCTTGATCACAGTAGCTAACCTTCACATCACCTGCAAGAAAACCATTAAAATATGGGTCCAGAAATCAAACGGGTGGACGGCCTAAAGAAAGAAAAATACGCATGTAACTTTGCACAAGATATTGAATGAAAGATATGATAACATCAACCTACAAATACGGCTATGTATGGATTAACAACACTAACCACTATATGTTTGAGTGAAAAAACAAAACTGCAGTAATAAGATAAAAAAATGTTCTCAAGGTCACATCAACGCATATTTTAACCAACAAAGATCAACAAGAACCCGTATAGGAGAGCTACCTAGGCATGTCTCTGAAGCTGGTTGTATCTATAGCATACCTTTGGCAAGAAATTACTTGAGGACACATGTCGCTGCTAACTCTGTCTTCCAGACCATTTTCACATCCTTGGAGCCCCATTCTCATACCATTACCCATCTCGACGGTAATTGGTGTATGACACGACCACAAAAACCTAAATCAACATCACCTAGAAGAATCATTTTTAGAACAAGTAGGAAAAGAAGCACAAAGTGATCATCACCACCTTGGCCCTTGGGGAACCAATTTTAACATTATTACCTTTCATTGACATGTTTGAAACAACAACTAACCTGCATGCGCCTAGTAAATCTCAAAATAGAGGAAGGATACAACACATGATAGAAGTGAACCCAAATGGTCAAATACTTCAGATTCTGACACACAAGGGAGAATTCCCAGCCTGCATCTTACTCAATTGCAAGCTAAAATCAATAGGGAAAGTAACAGAATATGGGACAAGTGTGACCTGAAAAACAAAATCCCATATATGTTCCTCTAAATCCTGTATCATAGAACCATATACTGTCCTAAATCAAGTAACGGAATTATAATCTACCCAACAAATTTATAGGGAAAGTATAACCACTATAAGCATTCAAACTAATCATTACATGGTAAATAAAGACTACACAGAACTAAAAGAAAGACAAAAATATAAGTAAAAATATATTCTGATCTCTGTTAGCTTTTGTTACCTCTATCGAGCACCTAATACAGAATCTGCATGATAAATAGGACACACCCTAGCATACTGAATATAACAATCGTTTGTCGATACATGTCACTATAAAGACAAATAAGCTGCAACACTTGTAACTTCTTCTGTGCCTCTCAAACTCAAACCCTTTGTAGGAAACATACATCTTCCCTAGAACTTGTGGTTACTGGAATCGAAATGCCTGAAGGAATCGCTGTTGCTACCAAGCACCAGTCCCACGCCTGGTCTCTGCACGAGACAAAACCCATGAGCAACCGTTCAAACTATAACATCATGAAAGGAAAGTGGTGCATCAGGTAACACCAACATTTCCTTCTTTTCACATATGGTAGGGACCTTAGTATGTTTACAGCAACCAAGCCAGAAGCTTGCACTGGCTAGCTCTATGTATCCCTGTGTTATTGAGATCAACACAGTTGTTTTAAATAGCACAACAAAAGTCATTCTAGCATGAAATTGAAAATAATAAATGTCCTATAAATGAGAACGCTACGCTTATTATTTCACATACAGGTGCTAAAAAAGTTGTTCTAAGACACATGAGCAAACCAAATGTTTATAAGTTGATAAGTAGCAGCTACAGTGGCCAGGAACATTTAAATATAGTATCATATGAAGGGACGACACATGAATACATCAGCTGCGGCTGTGTTCTTCATAAGCAATGCACACATCAATAATGTACGAACCTAGGTCTAAAAAAATCACAGCGAAGAACCAATTTTATTTCAAAAAACGCATTACAAATAACCATCACAAACAATTAACTTCAGAGCATCTTCTAAAAAAGCATAGAAATATCCATCTCCATCGCTCATCTATTTAGATTGACCATGCTGAATACAAACCTTTTTCCAGTAGTTGGTAACGATGCATTTACCTATATATTGGCCAAAAGACCAATAATATATATCCATGACGACATAAATCCGGTGCTGGAGAAATTATTTATTTCATAGCATAAAAATTCAATCGGAACCATTTAAATAGTAGGGCTATATACTAATATGAAAATGGATCCCACCTATGGATGTCATCTGATGCCAAGAATGAGAGGAAACTAACTAAGCCTGAATGCCACCCATATTGAAAATATCCATACTATGATTGGGAGGCCAATTGAACATTATACATCACATAATGTACTATGTATGTACATTAAATTCTTTGCCAACTGTATACATTTTGTTTAGACAGTACCCTCAAGTCTCGACCAATACAATAATACATTACCTCTGCTCATTTTTCATAAAATGCCATGCCCATTGGCTTGTTCTTGTCGCTTGAAAATGCCATGCCCATTGGCTTGTTCTTGTCGCTTGCTTATAATCATCCTTTCTATGGTGCTCACTTTCGTTTTGCTCCTGCTTCTTTTTTGCTTTTACGAAAAAGAGGGGAGAAGTCAAAGAAGGAAAGGTGTCTACACGCGCCGATGAATCAGGGCCGAAGGGAGGAGGCGGCATGGGGAGAGAAAGAACGAGTGAATCTCACCTTGGTGTGTTGCCGTCGGATGTGCTCGCCGTCGCTCGACCTGTGCGCAGAATCAGAACAAAGGTGAATCTATTATGAACTCAAGGACACCAAAGTGTGACAAAATAAAGGGGAAGCACCAATCCTCCACAAGAAATGGTGCCGATAGGTAGAACATATTCCTTTTCATGTACTGTGGTGGAAGAGTTGCAGAAGAAATCAGGCTCACCTATCTTGGAAGGTTCTGACTGCTCCAGGACATCAAGCCACAATAACTCCAACCACTCATAACCAAAACAATATGCCCTGTCATCAGATTCAGACTTCTAGTCACCGGAAACTGTATGGGCCAAAATTAATCTTCAGAGAACATAGGAAATACTAAATAAGCAAAAGGATAATCCCTGGAAATGCAATACATGTTGCAAAACAGCAAGATCATCTGTAAAAATATGAAAAAATACACATCTTACCCTTCTGCTTGCACTCCTCGACGGCCTGCTCCTTCTCCCTGTCATTGGCCGCCACCCCTCTCCTGCAGCCACACCCCAGATCCAGAACATTAAAATGATTAGCAGACGAAGTACCATGATAGCACCCACATAAACGATAATACACGTGTACCTAGGAAATAGAGCAGCTAACCTTAACGAGAAGAAAAGAGATGCAACAGATCGTAGAACCTGCAAAACAAATGGGAACGATCTGGTCAGAGCACAACCATGGTATAGTACATAGAAGCAAAAGAACACTGCACAAATAAGAAGTTAGATTCTGGCACAAGAGAGGGATTTCATCGCCTCCAGCTTGGGCTTGCCTGCAGGCTATCTTACATTGTGTCGGACTCAAAGGCAAGGTGAGGAGGCAGGGGAGGGGGAGCAAAAGGGATGGGAGGAGGACCTGCGAGGGCGACGACGTCGTCCTTGCCTGCCTTGTAGGATAGGACGCTTCTGGAAACGCATGATTGCACTCACCGGCGCTTCCTGTCGCCCAGCCGACGAGTCTTCCCCAACCTCTGACCCCGCCCACATCCGCCGCTCCTTCAACCCATGCTGCTTCCGCCCGCAGCCGCCATGCCCTTCATGGCCTGCGGCCCTGCCCTCTCTTCCTCGGCCAGCTCTCATGGCTTCCATGGCGTCGTCGATCTGGGATGTCTGATGCATCATGGTCGTCATCGCGCCGTCCTCCTCGATCTATGGCGGCAACGAAGTGGAGACGAGCGGCACAAGAGGGGTCGCGTGGGGCGAGGAGGAAGATAGGGAGAAGAGGAGGCGGCCGCCACAGGAGGAAGAGTGAGAAGAGAAGGGATGGTGGAGGAGGAGGAGGAGGCGGAGCCTGGGCACGCTCGGGGTGGAGCACGGGAGGATGGAGGCAGCCGTGGGAAAGGGGTCTAGGGTTCCACGACCCACTGGAAGCACGCCGCGCGCGAGGAGAGGATTGGCCAAAATCCTTTCGCACCTGCGCGACGTTTCACCCAGTCGATAGATGCCAGAAATGAGCCCACCAGTCAAAACTTACCAACAGGTGAATATTAGATTTATCAAAGGTAAAGATCTGACGCCCAGGCTCAGAATGAGGACGATCCGACGGTCGCGAATGCATGACATGAGGGATCACTGTGGAAGCGAGTTGGCTAGTTTCTGTTTTGTTTTAAATTTGCTTTACATACTAAACGCCTTACCTGCGGCAATCTTCCTGGCCTGTTGGATCTCCTGAAGGGCACCCTGGGCTTCAACCTAGACCGCTTCCGTGCTTGGAGGAGCCTTGGAGAGTTCGGTCTCTCGAGCCAAAACTTCGCCCTCAAGGGTCTCATACTTCTTCACCGCATCCTGGAGCTCTTGCTGGACCTCGTTCAGCCGGGCCTTCAGCTTCTTGCGAGCGGCCTGCTCCTTGACAACTTTCCCCTCGTCTTCGGCCAGGGCCTCTTTCAAGGCCGCGACCTCGGTCATCACCCCTACACATATAATGACACTACGGTCAGTATACATCATTTACTCTTTCCAAATATATAGTGAGCTATTGCATACCTTGCTGGTCTTCCAGCTGCTTCCTCGCCTGGACAAGCTCTTCTTCGGCCCACTCCAGTTTCTGCTTTAGTCCGGAGACTTTGGCATTATGAGAAGTTGCGGCCAGCGGCGACGCCTGCTTATTCACATCAAACATACTTGGTTAGTTTCCTGCGAAATTTAATTGATCCTCTGTTCAGTTTTTCTTTCCGAACACAGGACAGTGTCTGAGGGGCTATTGTCTATGTGGAGATTTTCTCGGCTAAATGCCGCTTACCTCAAAACAGTCAGCATGCC